TGAAGATGTGAGAGTAAGGGTTTGCAGGTCCTGTGTACTTGAGGATGAATGAGCAGCACCTAATGAAGACTAGGAGAGTCCAAATTACTCTTAAGTTGCAGTGAGTCAAGATCGTATCACTGCACTCTAGCCTGGGAGACAGAGTGAGGCTCCGTCTCAATCAATCAATCAATCATGCATCTGGGAGGCCGTGCGTAGCTCATATGCAAATACTGTGCCGTGTTACCTCAGGAACATGGGCAGCGAAGCATTTGGGTATCCACTTGGAGAGCCGTCCGGCCTTGACTTCTACCGCGGCCATTGCGCTTCCATCCGCCAGGTGGCAACATAGCCAGCGCGGAGTGCGGACCTGGACCTGCGCATGCGCGCCACGGACGAGGCGGGCCGAGTTCCTGCGCCTGGGAGCCATTACTGGAAGGGTGTGGCGGCCTAAGTTCCGCTGCACCGGGGTTCCCGTGGCCGCCGCCGCAGCTCTAGAGCACAAATTCGTTTGGCCAAAACTTAAACAAACACACGGATGCACATATGTCTGTTTACCTTTAGGTCAGGTGCAGAGGGAATGTCTGGAATCGCACTCATCGAAAGCTGCAGTTACTTGGGAGGATGAGCCTTTTACCTCTCAGCGTGTCCCCTTCTGTAATGTCTTGTTTTAATGTCTTATTAAAAACCAGAAGAGGTGCTTGCTTCGGCAGCACATGTACTAAAATTGGAACGATACAGAGAAGATTAGCATGGCCCCTGGGCAAGGATGACAGGCAAATTAGTGAAGCGTTCCATATCGAAAAACAAAAACAAAAAACCAGAAGAGGCCGGGCGTGGTGGTTCACATCTGTAATTCCAGCACTTTGGGAGGCCGAGGCAGACGGATCACCTGAGGTAAGCAGTTCGAGACTAGCCTGGCCAACATGGCGAAACCCCGTCTCTACTAAAAATACAAAAAAATTAGCCAGGCGTGACGGCGGGCGGCTGTAATCCTCAGGAGGCTGAGGCATGCGAATAGCTTGAACCCGGCTGTCAGAGGTTGCAGTGAGCCGAGATAGCACCACGGCACTCCAGCCTGGGTGACAGGGCGAAACTCCGAGACTCCATCTCAAAAAGAAAACAAACA